ATGTAGACACCTCCTTCTCCAGGAAGCCCTCCCTGATTCCCAAACTAGGTCAGATTACCCCTCTGGGATGCCCCATCCCAGCCCTGTCTATTTGGAGGATAGTCAGCACTGGACTCTGATTCTCAAGAGTTCAGGGCTATCTCCATCACTAATGGGTCCCAACACACACCCCTGAACCCCAGAACAGGGCAGGGGCTCAGGTAAGATATGTGGAGTCCCTGAATGTGTGGAGTCTCTTTTTATACAGTTGTCTTTTCCTAAGCAAACACTTAGCTGTTTGTTTAGGAAAAGACAACTGTATAAAAAGACTAGCCAAAAGGTTGGTAGTTCAAACCCATCCAGAAGTACCTCAGAAGACAGGTCTGGCAATCTTCTTCCAAAAGTTCACAGCCTTGAAAACCTATGGAGTACAGTTCTACTCTGCAGGCATGGGGTCTCCGTGAGTTGAAATCAACTCAAGAGCAATTTACAATAGAAACAACTTCTTATAACTACTAGTCTCCATTTTTCATTGACATTTATTGAGAAACTGCTATATACCAAATTCTTTAGAATGAACTCCATGGGGGCCTGGAGACATGAAGATAAACCAGAGCAGCCCTGTTTTCAGCAAGCATGTGGTTTTGTGGGGAAGACAACACAGAACTGGGTATAATGATTGTTGTTGTTGTTAAGTGCCGTCAAGTTGATTCCAACTCAGCAACCCTGTATAGGGTTTACAAGAAGCAGCTGGTGGTTCAAACCAACCTTTTGGTTCAGTACTTTATCCCATTAAAGTTCTGGTGGCTCTGTAGGATAAGCATTGAACTGTCGGTGGTGCAAACTCATCAGCTACTCCACAGGTGAAAGATAAGGCATAGTGCTCCAGTAAAACTTTACAGCCTCAGAAACCCTGTTATACAGGGTCACTATACGTTAACTCAGTGGCAGTGAGTTTGGTTTTGGGTAAGCATGTATTGAGTACTTGGTCTTTGCCATTCACTGTGCTAAATGCCTTTAGTTTATTCACCTACTTTACCCTCACACACTACATTTCTGTGAGGAAAGCTCAATGATTATCCCCATTTTGCAGATGAAAAAACTGATGCAGGGTAAGGCTAGGTCACACCAGATGTACATGGACAAGTTGGGAGCAGAATGCCATTATCGACTGTAAGAACCAAGGTGCAACTTGTGCTCAATAAAAATGTTGGGGATCCATCAAGGCAAGCAATCAAGTTCTTTCAGGACAAACCCTCCTTCAAGACTGAAACTCAAAGGGAACTCATGAGCAGGCATGTAAGCCTGCTGGTAACCATGTTGGTCTACTGGTGAGTGGAAGAGGGGGAAAGGCAGCAATGAAGAAATAGGCTGAGTTCAACCACATTCTATAGACTCCCATTGACCTGGAGATAAGAGAGAGAAGAGGAAGGGCTGGTTGGTCCAAAGTATGGTGAAACCTGGGGACACCTGAGCCCATGGACAAGGATATAGCCACAGAGGGCTAGAGTTGAGATCGAAGCATCCAGCTGATATGAAGCACTAAAACACCCAAACTTGAAGATAGTACACATTTGACCTAGCCTCGATGGCTTGATAAGCAGAACTCTACTAGAGGAAGATTTAAAAAAAGTTTTTTGATCAAGGGAATGAGGGTAAATTGCTATAATTTGATGAACTTGACCTATACTTATGGATATAGTAACTCAAAATACCAACAGAGATGGAAGGAGTCTTCATATCAAGTGTCAATTCTATCCCCTCTGTATACAGGGTTGATAGGGACGGGCAACTTAGGCATTGGCTACCAAAAATGAGGGGGCAATAAAGGCACGAAGTGACTGGATTATAAGTTTTCAAGAGGAAGTTTAGTTCAAGAGTGTGTGGGGGAAGGTAGAGTCCCCACTGAATAGTTCTCATTTTGTCTAGATGGGTATGGTGAGAAAAGATGAGGATAAGATTCTTATGATTCAATAGTGAGAAGTTGTTACCATGACTAATTGCAACTGTCACAACTGTGAAGGTAGAAATTTTGTAACAAAAACAGGGGAGTAGTTAATCTTACAGTACAGAAACAGAGGCCCCTAGGACCATCAAGGGAAAAGACTATGAGTGGAATTCAAAACCCTATCCAGAGAAGCAGTGACACCAGAGATGGAGACAGAGAGGAGGACAAGGAGAGAGGGAGCAGCTGAGGACTCTAGACTCATGAAAAGAGAAAGAGTTAGTGCTGGCATCAGCGGCCAGGAGGCAGGCTTGCAGAATGTGCCCTTTGGTCATTTAAATGATTATATATTCCTGACTGTTTTTGTGTACACCACCCCCCCCACACACACACACACAAAAGCAGGGAATGGAAGCAAATCCTGTGGAATGATGATGCACGGAGGAGATTGTAATCATTGCAATAACACGATGGTGTAAAGCCGATGTTCTCCCATGTAAACTAGCACTGAGTTCACAATGAAAAATTAAACAAAAATAAATGTTGAGGGTCCATGTGTCCAACCAGAGGGGGACTGCCTTTTATTTTACAAGAGGGGAGCAAGGACAGGGCAATGCTTACCCAAAGGCAAGATTGCAGTTGGGGGGATTTCCAGGCACTGTAAGTGTTTGGCCCATTAGGAAGAGATTAGTATTCTGGGCTGGAACTAGGAACTGTCCAGGGGTCAGTGGCCCCGACCCTACTTCTGAGTCCATGTACTCCACCAAATTCTCAAGGCTGCAGCTCCTTGATTTACAGATGAGGAAGCGGTAGCCTGGGGAAGGAAATGGGCTGAGCCTTCACCACCAGGCGCTATGATTCATGGGGAAAAACCCTTCCCCTTCAAACTCAGCTCCTTTGTGCAAAAGGACTTGTGGGCTCTGGTCAGAGGGTCTATAAACTGGCCAGCAGGGATGTAGACACCTCCTCACTTTACCTCCATGGGTCCCCTCCCCTGCCACCCGCCCCCTCTCCAACCCCTTAAGTCTGTTTGCAGTCCCGTTTGATGAGAGAAGGGGAGCATCCCTATACCTGGGGGAGGTGAGACAGGTTTGGATTGAGCTATTTTTATCTGGTGTACACATTGAAAAGACCCTGGTAGCACTGTGGGCTAAGCACCAGGCTGCTGGTTCAAACCCACCAGCTGCTCCATGGAGAACATTGAGGCTGTCTGCCCCGACCGAGATTTGAAGTCTTAGAAACCCAAAGGAGCAGTTCTGCCTGGACCTGTATAGGGTCGCTATGAGTCAGAATCAACGCAATAGCGGTGGGTTTGGTAAATTGAGACTTCATGTGAGATTTAGCTTAAAGAAAGTTCCATAGTGGAAGTAAACTTTTCAAAATGTTAACCCATTTGGGGATCCTGAGTCAAACTGTAAAAAACAACAACAACAACAACAACAAAGTAAGTAGGTGTTGTCGAGTTGGTTTCAACTCATAGTGACCCTATGCACAACAGAACAAAACACTGCCCAGTCCTGCGCCGGCCTCATAGTTGGTGTTATGTTTGAGCCCACTGGCTGCTGCAACTGTGTTGATTCATCTCTTTGAGGATCTTCCTCTTTTTTGCTGACCTTCCACTTTACCAAGCATGATGTCCCTCTCCAGGGACTGGTTTCTCCTGATAGCATGTAGAAAGCATGAGAGATGAAGTCTGGCCATCCTCACTCCTGGGGAGAATTCTGGCCAACAGAATGCATCCCAGTTGAGACTATACCACTTCTGGGGTGAGCCTTTAAGAGGCCTGGCAGCTTCTGATTGGGGCCACTTGGAGCCCTAAGCCACTACATAAGTGGAATGTTTTACATCTCTTTGTCTTATTAAGAGGGGGCTTCAAAAACTTCATGGAAAAATGGAATGAAAAGATAATGAATTTCCCACAAAGCTTGTGTCCCTTGTATTTGAAAGCATATCCCAGCCATCGTATCATTTTATTTGTAGCTACTTCAGATTGTATTTCTGAAAGACATCTCCTCCCTTACCACCACCCCCAAAACAAAAACAAAAACAATTGTCATTGAGTCAATTCTAACCCATGGTAATCCCAGGTGTTCCAGAATAGAATGGTTCTCCAAAGGCTGCGACTTTGGGACAGTATGTCTCCAGACCTTTCTTCCAAGGTACTTCTGGGTAGATTCGAACCTCCAGCTTTTTGGTTAGCAATCTAGTGTTTAACTGTTTGCACCACCCAGGGACTCCCTCTGGCAGATAAGGATCTTTTTT